GGAAGGGGTGTGTTTATTGCTTATTAACTTTTGAAAAAAAAAAAAAAGAAAAAAAAAGAAGCGGCGGAATTTACATATAGGTCGATTCGTTGCCTTCTGCGTTCAGACATTTCTCGGGTGCTTGGGCAAGCTTCTCACGATCCAGTTAGTCGAAAAGCCCCTTTCCATTGTAGGAGTTGAATAATGGTGGTAAAAAATATTGTTATTAACAGTAATACTGCACATTAAGTAATATGATGTTCACCCCTTTGTTTTTAATCCAGTAACTAATAACTCAGGTATGTTTCCGGCTTCTAAAGAAATAAAAGCGAGGCAAAAAAAAAAGTTAAGAAACAAAGGGATCCACGGTGAATACTCAAAGCACCCATGCGTCTAATCCCTGATTATTACTCGGCGGCTCTGAAGCAGAGTCTTTATTAAAACTACAGAGGGAAAGCGCGATCGGTGGGGCACATGCCGGCAGATAGGTAGCTCGGAGCTGCAGGCAGCGATCTGGAGGCAGGCAGGCAGGCAGGCAGGCAGGCTCTGGAGGAGCGTTCTACCTGTAAGCGCCCTGGCCGAGGTGACAGCCGGGCTCCCGCGATCTGGACCCGTGGCCCCCGCCCTCCTCCCAGCCGTGACTCACGGGGGAATGTCACCATTTCACATCCAATCCGGGCCGAGCCGGCTGCATTTTCCCCGAGCAAAAGTAAGGGACGGAGGGACGCGGCCGCTCTGCCTCGGGGGCGGCCACCGTTAACTTTGCTCCTTTCGGGATTTGGGGACTCAAAGGAAAGGAAAGGGGTGGGGGAGAGGTCACCCCGGCCCGGCCCTCCTCGGAAAGGCAGGAGCGCAGGCCGGCAGCGAAAGTCACTTCTGCTCCACCCGGGCTTGTGTCATCCGTGACGGGGGATTTCAAAATACTCCCGAATATCTGGGAGGAAAAAAAAAAAAAAGAAATAGTCGTACTGCTCCTCGTACGGCGGCTGTGTGGATACTGTCCGTGCTCGGGGTCTTAAAAATCGTCCAGGAAAGAAAAATAATAAGTATGTGCATTTTTATAGGGAGATAAATTGACAATTTATTGTGTATAACTTCTGATCAATTATTAATCGTTAGTGTCAACAACAGGGTTATAATTACCTTCAGTTATTTAAAGGAATATTTATTTTTTCTTCTCTCTGATCTGGTAATTAGTTAATGCTCTGGAGTAATGAATTCAAAGCTGATTTGATAATGATTGAGACAGTTTTTTCCCCTCTCTTTTGGCAACCCCCCTCGCGGAAGGGGGGGGAAGGAAGGAGGGAGGTGTCTCCCCCCGTTTGCAGAAGAGTCCATGTAAAGGCAAATCGCGGCGCGTTTCACTTTTCAGACCATAAATAACGATTCTGGGAGGAAAAGGGCAAAATGACAAACAAATAGAGCGCAGCTGGGATGAATAAGGCCGATCAAAGTTAGCGGGGGCCGACGATTCCCGCAGCAGGTCTG